TTGAATTATTTAACTACATCAATATTACACTACGAAAAGCCTTTAATCTGATGTATCCAGCAATGTTATTAACACATTACAGTAACAATTTTAATAATATTCAATCACATTATCAATCCATATTATTACACCTTAATAACCGAACACGACACTATTATTAATTATAATATTACAATTATTAATATATTATTTTTCAAACATTGATAATGCTTATACACACCTATTAATAATAACACCAACTACGTTACTAACTTCGACTGAAAGATTTATAACCATAGTTATATCGTTAAACGTAAATTCACTTTTGATAATGTCATAAACAAACGAATACCTAACAAGTATGCTTCTTGATAATGACATTTTGACAAAGCTACAAACATAAACGAAAAAATATTAATAATTCAAATCACTAAACATAAACAATCTTACAAATGAAATAAATTTTTGCTAATGGTTGAATTTTGCTTGGAAAAGAACTTTGATAATAGCACTTCAAATGATTATAAATCATTGCGAACCAAATTGATAATACGATGTAATAGTAAATAAACTTCAAGTACCAACAAATTGAAAACACAATTTCACTTTTGCTAATGTTACAAATAAAACATAACATTAAAAAGTTAATAATGTCATATAAACTTATTAAAAAAACATGTCGAACAACATTAATAATAACACAAACGAATACCTAACAACGAAAAATCTCAAACCCATACAATGAAAAGCCCTAATGATGATTCAATTTATAAATATTGATAATGTCATTACAAAATGTTAATACTTAATACTAATCGGAAGTTGCCAAGATGTGAGAGAGACATATATTTTAAATGTCAAATTTCCATTTTAGAAAAAGAAATTATTAAATTCGGATTTTATTAAATATTAAATTAAATTAATTTCATATTTCTTTTTAATTATAATGTAGAGAGAGGGTTATGGAGAAAATCATGGGAGGAGAGAGAAAGAGAATCATTAATTAATTATATTAATTATATTTACATAACCCTATTTACCCTTAACTACCTATTAACTACTAACTCCCATTAACTACCTAATCCACTATTAGGCAATAGGAAAGCTTTAAGATTTTCCTTAAGAAATGAGCCTTAAGGACTTGAACTCAAGCCTCCACCTACGCATAAAAAACAAAGAATCAATAATGGAATTTCTCAATCAAAAAATTGCAATTGAAAACTACAAAACGCACATTCAGAAATCGTAAGTCGAATTAGATTATCATCACAGGTGAAACTACTAGAAACAGAGATTGCTAACAAAAGCTCATTCAAAAGACAAAGCTCATATTAGAGAACTATTAGTAAAAGACGCAACTCAAAACTGCGTTTGGAGAACGAGATTTAGGGCGTGGATTCATTACATTCATAAATTTTGTAGAAAGTTATGTTTTTTATTGTTTTTTGTATTGTGGATTTTAAATTTAGAGATTTCAAATCTCTAAAATCTATGGATATCAAATCTCTCATAATCAGAGAGATTCTATATCTTGATTCATGAGATTTTTCTCTCCTACATTTTCTCTTTCTTTTATTTATTTATCATATTAAATATATTACTAAAAAGTTTTTAATATTTTTCGAACTACTCTAATTTTTTATTAAGGATAAACATGTTATTTAATATAAAAATTTTATTTTTATTTTCATTGAATGTTAACAATTAATTACAGTTATCAAACAATAAATATTTTAAAATCTATTTTAAAAATCCAAAAAATTAGAATATTTAGATTGTTGACAATTTATAAATTTAAACTCATATTCTGCTTAAACTAATCGAAGCGGAGTCTGCGGAGATCATAATCATCAGACATTCACTATTCAAAGAAGCAATGTCTCTGTCAAAGTAACTGTTGAGTAAAAAACGCAGCTCAAAACTAAGAAGAGCTTAAACTAATCGATGCGGAGATCATAATCATCGTACATTCACTATTTATTATTCAAGGAAGCACTGTCTCTGTCAAATTAGCTTACCTAATTCGTCATCTAAGGCTTGCCGCAGCCGCTCCCGCTCCGGATCGTGGAAACGCGAATTGCCAACAATTCAGCAAAAATTAGCGATCTGAATTTTCTGGAGCGCGGATTGGAATTATTTGGAGCGCGACTTTATTATTGTCTATTTGATAATAATTTGTTGGAAGTTTGGTATCGGTATTTGGGATATACCGAATATCGTATCGAATTTGCCTATATTTGGTATTACCGAATACACATATTATTTCTTGGGATTGGGATTGGAATTGAATTTCAATTATAATTCGGTATTAGGGATTACGGGATTGGAATCGGTATATACTGAAATACCGATCAATACCGAATTATAAGTTAGTGTGTATTTTATCCTCTCAACTAGACTCTCTCATTCACTACTACACGACCCTCAACCACCAAGAGTGTCATTTAATTATACATAGATCATTTCATCTAGGGGTGGCAATCGTTCGGTTTCGGTTTAACCGAAAACCGAAAACCCGGTTATCGGTTAAACCGAGCCACCTCCTAGTACTGCCGACCACCGATCGTGATAGAGGTCATGGTTAGCCGGCCAACCGACCGGTCGGTTTCGATTTTAGACTCGGTTAGCCGGCCAACCGGAAAACAAGCTTTTCTACCAAAAAAAATAATAAAAGAAAAAAATTCTGCACCACTCATCCCTTATCTCCTCCTTCTCCTTCCTTCCTCCACCAGACACTTCTCTTCTCTCTCCTTCCTTCCTCCACCATTTCACACCCACCACCACCAAACCACTTCTTCTTTCTCTCCTTCCTCCCTCCATGGAAGACTACAACACCCACCAATCTCCTCCTCAATTCCCCATCTTCCCCTCTCAAATCCTTCACCATCGCCGGCCGAAATCCTTCCAAGCTCTCTGAAGCCCTCAAATGGGCCGCCCATCCCAACTTTCCGCTGACACCACTGACCCTGCTTCCCTTCACCTGCTCCCAAACCAGGCTGCTCCTCAACTGCGTCGGTCCATTTCGTCTCTACGGCGACCCTGTCGTGTTCCACCGGATTAGGGCTCGCCGCGGCGACGAGGTGGAGGCGGCGGGGCGACGAGGTGGATGCGGCGGGGCGAGGTTTTTTGCGCCGCGACGGGGGCGACGAGCTGCTGCTGGCGTTGCCTGGCTGGAGGCTGGAGCTGCGGCGGAGCGTCAAGGTGGAGGCGACGAGGTGGAGGGGGAAGGGGAAGGGGAAGGCGAGGTGGTGACAGTCGACAGGAAGGGCCGAAGGGGTCGACTGCTTAGGGTTAGTGGCTGGCAACAAGTGGGGGGCGGCGTCGTTTTTGGGATAGGGAAGGGGGTTCGGTTAGCCGGTTAACCGCCGGTTTCTGACCCTGGTTAGTCGGCTAACCGGACCCATGAATTCCCCTACGGCTAACCGACCGCGGTCATTGGGATTGGTTTTTCGGCTAGCCGAAAACCGGCCGGTTCGGTTGAAACCGTCCGGTTAGCCGCTAACCGGAAAACCGTCCGCCAGCCCTAATTTCATCTTTGTTTCACAACTCAAAAGTCCCCATCCAACTCAATTTGACGTTCCAATTTAAGTCACTCTCATCTCTCACCTAATAACTTGTTATTTTCATAACACCAAAAAGCAAACACTAATATTAGTCGTCTCTCAGCCTTCAATTCATCAAATTAAAGATTAACAAGACAAGAACTTGAGATGTCACATATCCTTCATTCTCCTTATCCATATCCTAGCTCTACGCAAACTCAAGACTATTTGCTTAGTCTATTTTCCCTAAATTAAACAAACAAATCTAATTTATATATTTAATTATTTATTTCAAATGTAATTAATTTCGTATTCGATAATCCAAATTGGGATACCGAAGTACCGATTGGGATACCGAAATATTTAGGGATTGGGATACCGAATTATTTAGGGGTTGGGCTTGGGATTGACTTTCGAGTGTAATTCGATATTCGGAATTTCGGTATTTGATATTGGAATACCAATACAGTACCGATTTCCACCCCTAGATATAAATGATCATCGTCTTATTCATAAAGAATTAGGCCTAGTATATAACTATATATAGTATTCTTGGATTTTCCTACAAAACACCAAAGATTGTGTATTTTATGCATAAATCATGGTTTAACTTGGTTCAACTATTTCATACCTCTAAAATCGCAAATCTCTTTGAGATCCGGTAGGTGTTTTTTATCATACTAGCTATTAGTTACTACAAAATGATGAAATTTTCCTAGTACACGATTATGTTTAATGTAAAATATCATTGAAAATTCCTACAATGCCTTGAAGTTATAATAATTTGCATTTTGTACCTGCTATAGTAGATTTCATAGGTCGCATTACGTAAAATACAATAGACATTACGTAATGGTTGTGTAATGTACGTTTATCTTATGTAATAGTTGTAAATTGTCATTACGAAAGCCTTACATAAGGGACGGTCCATTTACATAATGAATATTAACTTTGGATTATGTAAAGTCTCAAGTCATTACTAAATGCTTATAACTTAGATTGTTACATAAGAAATAATTGACATTTTATAACATTTAAGTAATATGTGATTTACACAATAATAGTATAATAGTGTTATCTAAGACTTCCATAATATATGTTATTTTACGTAATGAGTATTAACACAGTTATATAAAGATCAAGACATAACAAAAGTCTTACATAACACTATTTTATAACTATTACATAAGACTAACAAACATTCTGTAATTATTATGTAACAAACATTAGACTTTACGTAATGCGACTTGTAAAATCTGTCATACCGGGTCAAAAAGTTTAAGTTAAGGCATGATAGGATGTCTCAATATCATTAAATATTATTAAAATAATCAATCAAAAATAATTTAATATGACACTCTAATCACGCTCTTAAACATAAATTCTTGAATAATAAACGCTCTCAGGCTCTCGCTCCCACTCCGCGAACTGGTTACCTAAGGCATCACTCCCTGATTTGTCTCTTTACCAAATCCAATAGAAATCCAAACTAGCCAAAAAAAACCAACTTGGTCCCTCTATTGGACCTTTTGGGAAAAACCACCACAACTGGGTTTAAATTTTGAATAGAGTAGATGCCACATTTTAATCTTGCGAAGGTCCTTATCTTAACCACAAAACAGCTCATCGGCACTATCCCTAGTAAACATACATCGACCCATCAGAAAACGTACGAGATCACGATTAGGCCTAGAAGAAGAATTGAAGATTACAAATTAAATTTTACAATTCCCTGAATGTGTATTACCTATAATCGTCACAGTAAATACTAGTAATATCAGTAAAAAGTAACAAATGATGCCAACAACAGTCATAAGAAAACATCTGCCCATACATACGCCTTGCTGCAGATATCAACCATACTCTACTTCCCACCCCAAAATAATACCAGGCTACAATCTGGCAGCAATAGATGATTCCTCCGCGGCTGCCGATGAATAGCTCTGATCTGCTCTCATCTAATCTTCATGACTACATGATGGCCGAGGTTATCAACTCAGCCTCCTTTGGACGCCACATTGTCTTCTGAACACAAAGCAATCCCTCGCCCTCCTTCGAGTAAATCATTCGGATGTCCCAGTTCATCGATTTAGCCAAGCTCTCGACCTCAGTTATGGTCTCAACGTTGTCCCTTACGATGAGCTTGCCTCCCGGCCTCAAGATCCTGTCAACTTCCGCCACCAGTCCCACAAGGTTACACCTGCAATAGAAAGAGGGGGGGAAACATTAAACGATTGAGTTTATAAAGAGATTGATTTCAAGGGTTGTAACGGAAAGTGATTAGAGAAAGAGTGGGACCCATCTTCAGACCTCTTCTTGACCACCGATAGAAGATGGTCTGCGTGCAGAACATCGTAAGTTCTGGGGTAGGTGTTGAACGACTGGCACCAATCGTGGTACATTCCAAACAAGCCACGCTCGTAAATTATGGGAAGTGTGTCTGGAGAATCGATCGGGACCACATTCATAACCCACACTTGCAAGTCCTTCAGTGCAGCCGCAAATCTAACAACATAAACCAACATAAGAGTGCATGAGAAAAAGGTGACTTCAAAGGAATCAGAAGAAGGCTGTGAATGAGAAAAGGTTGGTTGTTATAGCCTTACCCTCCATAGACCGCTCTCATGTCCATGACATTTCTTACAGAAGACCAGTTGATGCCCATTCCATTCAGGTATGATTGTGAGACAACATTCTTCCAGTGTTTATAGTCAGCAGCAAAATCTTCCTGACCGGGTTTGCCATAAACTCCAACCTGGGATTTCAGCCAGTATGGTGGACTCTCCAATCTCTTTGGCCATTGCTCTGGCCAGTTGGATCCTCGTAGAGATTCATCTTCTGGGACCTTGTGCATGCATGCCTCGAGAGGCACGTTCCTGAAGCAAGAGATAACAAATTATACGAACAATTAAAAAAGTAGGGAACAGTAATCAAAAATAGCAGCATGCAGAGCCAATGTCCTCATTGGAAAGACTCCAAAACGACTAGCAAAACATTCGAAGTATTAAATTGCCCATTATTGGACATTAGGTATATAAACTATTTCTCACAAAAAAAATATATATATTATTCGAATTTCAAGGCGATATCTTACGCATTCAAAATAATCTGTAAGGGGGCACAGTATTTACCAGAAAACACAAAGAATACTACGAATGGTCAACTCATCATCCCTAGTTTTGCTTAGTTTTTATTTTATCATAAACCATCATGAACATTTCAAAGACGAGTGTTTGTGCCCGGAATTTCAAGAGAGTGACTAGAGTAACAGAGTTCAAGCAACAATGGAAAAATCTTGAACAAATAGATGTCAATTAGAAAGGGCTAGTCGATGCTACGCAATAGCTTAAGACAGCTTACTCCTCTCCAAAACAACATTTATAAGGGCTAGTCAATAGTATACAATAGCTTCAGACAGTTTATTCATCCCTAACCCACATTTTATGGAAGGCTATTTGTAGCCCTCTTAGAGTCCATCAGGAAAAACTCTGCCGAGGGCTCAAAAGTGAGAGACTTCATCAAATTCAATCATAACCAAAAAGGCTCATTGATCTGTCATTAACTTTTCATTAGAGATAAATGAGAAACTCCATTTTTGCTATTTGACAAAATCTTGGTATATTGACTTAACATAAAAAAAAAACTACTCTTGAAACTGTGAGGGAAATAAGAAATTACCAAGCTGCATTTGGATCATCAGATTCTTTGCACAATGGCGGTTCATTCTTGGTTCGCTGGTTATAGCACTCATTGGACGTGGGCTTCCTGTATATTGCAGCACCAACGCCATTCAGTTTATCCTTCTTGATAACCACCAGTTCCCAGCACATAGCCTTTGTCAATTTAGTCATTTCTGCCAACAATTTTTCAAGAGCAAATAGAAGGCACATCATTAAGACTAATTCAGAAATTTCATCCAGTTGACTGAGAAAAATAAATTACCTTTCCAAATCCCGACATCCTCTTCCAGCTTTTGATAAACAGGAGTGGCAGACCACACAAAGTAGCCACCAGGTCGCAGCACACGGTTGAGTTCCAAAAGAAGTTTGCCGCCTGCATATAATGGAACTAAAAATGAATCTCCGGAATAAACAAGCGAAAATTTAGAATTATTATGCGCAAAAGTAAATTATCACCTTCAATATGCCAAGGAACCCTGCAACGTGCACAGTGTACAACATCAAAAACATATCCTGGGAAAGGTAGCCTCTTGGTACCCATAACAGCTAATGTAGCAGGAATTCCCCTCTCTAGAGCAAATTGAACTTGTGCTTCATGCTCATCTTTGGGAGCAAAAGACATTGCAAGAACGTCTCGCTCGAATAGATAACCACCAAAGCTTGCCACACCACACCCAACATCCAATATCACACGGGTCCTTTTTCCCCAAGCAATATCAAGAAGAGACTGCAGTTGAAACAGAAACTAAATTAGGCAACCAACTACCAAGATTTAAGAAGAAAACATCTTTATTTCTCTAATTCTTAGTTCTTCATGTCCAAATAAACCAATACATCAGAACTTAAATAACAGGGTAACCAGAAAACAGGGGATCCAATGACAACTCACATCTTGAATGAAATCGATGTAATGAAGAGCACCATGCTTAAACTGAGTTCCTCCACCTGGGAAGGTAAGATATTCACCACTAACTTTAACCCAGTTTTGATGTCCTTTAATCTCCGCAAGCTTGGTATGGGGGACATTATAATACCAGATCTGCATCACGTAGAAAGCAATGAATACAAGACCAAACAGATTAAATACTGGGTGATCTTTCAATAGTTAGCTATGAAACAACAGAATTACCTTATCCCTGCTTTTAGGCCACTTAATTGACTGCTTATACCCTTCAGGCACAGGAACAAGGCAGGTAGGTGCTTCATCAGGGCAATGCCTCTCCCTATGTTCGTAATGCTTGGTGCTAGATAGCTTTCTGATTGCTTTCCAGTTGTCAAGGCAAGGTATATAGTCCGGACCTGCAGTAGTATTGCATACTTTCCAAGCTTGGCCATCTTTTTTAACATCTGAAGGACTCTGTGAGTTCTTCTCCTTCTGTGACTCTGCAGCTTGAGTAGACCATGCTGCGTTTTGAGTGTTAGTCTCATTAAGAAGCTCTGACTGCGCGCCAGCAGGAAAAACCTCAACTGCCTTATCTTTACCCTGACTTCCCTCGTTACTCTCACCAGAATTCCCGACTGTCTCACCACCATCCTTATTCTCACCTTCGTCTGTGGACTTCTCCCCCTCATCTGACGCTGACTTTTCACCTGAACCACCATCTGTTTCACTATCATTCTTATTCTCACTCGAACCTTCGTCTGTGGTGGTCTTCTCTCCCTCATCAGACTCACTCTTTTCTCCACTTCGATTTTCCTTCTCCCCAGAATCTGAATTTGATCCTGCCTCTCCTGAATTTTCGTCCTCTTTTTTCCCATCTCCATCCTCAAAAGTTTGAGATGTTGTTTTAGGGTCCTTTTGAGACTTCTCACCTTGATTTTCTTCACCTGCTTGGTTAGAGTCTGTCTCCGTCTGAGTTTCAGTCACCTTGCTGTCATCCTCGAGATCCGATTGGTTGTCAGTATTAGAATTTTCAGTGCTCTCGCCATCTTTACTTGAACCCTCTTGTAAATCACCAGAACTGTCTTCAAATCCCTTGGAGTTCTCAACCATACTTTGTTTGCCCTGACTGGTGGCAGACCCTTGAGATACCGGCACATTTGAACTCTGTCCAGGGACGACAGATGATGACATGAACATCCAAACTCCAACTAGACACAATGCTACAAAAGCGACCATACTGATAGTTGAACAATAGTTTGATGACTTCCTGCCATCGACCCGTGAATACTTCCCCATTGCCATTTCCTCCTCAACTAAAGAAGATTCCCGTGGCTGTAAACACCATGAAAATACAAATCAAGAACAAAGTAAGCTCAATATCACGGTGTTGTGATCTTCCCTAGAACAGATTATTAGTGCAACGTTAGTTGCTACAAATTCCATACCCAAGAATCCATCTAAATCTTAGATCAGATATATAGGTGGTGGTGGTGGATCTAATGAAACTTGAGTAGTAGCAGACATCTCTTCTCTCCCCTCATTGCACCTCATGATCTCACAAATGAATCGGCCAATCAAACAGATGTAAAAGGACAACAGTTGATCCGAACACTAGCCTTGGAAACTTAGAACTCCAAAGAGGTACACGCCACTACACTAACTTTTGTTGCACCTTGCCGTTTGAATCATAATGGAAATCTAGCAGATCCATTGACACACCAACCACAACTCATAATGAGCAACCACAGACATCAGCAATTAAGCACCAAATATAATAATAATAATAATAATAAATTATCCTCCATTGAAACATTACGACTGCGCATCAACCAACGACGGCAAGAGAAACAAGAAGTAAACAGACGAATCTGAACTAATCGAACAAGACCATGGAGACCCCTCCATTAACACTAATTTACTTCACTCAAACAAACGGAAGCGAAAACCCAGCAAGGAAATCGGAAGAGAAGAAACTTACCCTTTTGTCAACTAACACGACATCTGGAGGACTTGGATCTGACTAGAAGGGGGAAAGAGAAATCGGAAGAAACCCAAGAAAACCCAGTAGCTCTTTTCTCTGGTGCAGTCAGACAGTTGCCGCCTGAAATAGCAAATGAAGCAGGCCGAGAGGGGAAAAGGAATGGGGTACCCAGATGGCAAAGTAGCGAGGTTTTCAATATAGTAATGGCCGAAAGGAAATCGAACAGCTTAAGTGGGTGAACGGTGGAGGATTAGTGGTGGTGTGAGACTGCGAATGATAACGGGATGGGGGTGAAGAGGATATTTTTATATTTGCCTTTTCACGCGGATTTGGACGAGAGAGACACTGTTGAGATCGGACTCAGAGCATTTTCAGCGCCTTTTCCATTTATTTTAGAGTAAAATTCAAGTCACAGTTATTCGCCACCGACGCTGCAAATTTTGACGAAAGTCCCAGATCTGGACTGGATGTTAGTTGCGGGGAGTGAGTGGAGATGAGATGAGATGAGATGATTGATTGATTGTCATATGCCGGTGATTTCCACAACATTTTTTAGCATATAGAAAATGAGAAAATTATTTAATTTCGTGATCATATCATATGGTAATGGCACTATGGCAGCAGTAGACTTTAGTAGCCTATTACGACAAAAAGAAGCCTTTGTTGATCGTTAAGGCACCGGCACCGGCCTAGCAATCAACATAGTGTACGTATGTTTGTTTATGCTTGTATTTGGCCAAATGCTTAGAAATACTAGAATAAATATTCGTGGCTAAGTCGTATCTCGTATGGGCTATTTGGTCGTAGGGTGTAGGGTAGGAAGTTTGGTTATAATTTTATGGTTTATGCAAAGTCAACAGTTAATAATTAACTGAGAACACCATACAATGATGAAATATAATCGTTGCATATTTGCTTTTGGGTCATCTTTTGATGTTTGCTGTCAACACAAGCCAAATTATAAAACAAAAATGGAGTCTATGACCAAACGATACCACGAAAAATAGGTTGTTCTCTCTCATGAGGAGTGGGTTGAGAAACCGCCGTCATGTGCTCGAACCGTTACGGGCTTTCCGCCGTCATGCGGCTTCGATGCCTGACTCCCGGAGCATCAGGGCTATAAATCCACCTCTCTGGGGGTAGGGATTTGTGGGTCTTGTTCCAATTCTTACTCAGCGATTTGGTTTTTTGCAAGTTTCAAAGATGGCAGTTGTCGTGCAATTTAACGACGAGGATGTGGCTGGGGGATGACCGGGGTGAGCTTTCGCTCATTGGGCGTTTGTTTGGGGTACCGCCGCCAATGTACGTGCTCAAGACGATGCTCGGTCAGGTTTGGCATTTCAAGTGTGACCTAACAATTTCAAGTGTGGAGGATGGATTGACCCAATTCATGTTCTCGGTGAAGTCTGGCCTTCACAATGCGGTTACCAAATCCCCATGGATCTTCGACAACTTTATGCTAGTGTTGGCGCGCTGGCGAACCCTTCTCCAAAAGTTGCAGAGAAGCTTCGTTGGGCCCCAATGGTTGTTCATATTTGGCGGGAGTCGTTCGATTGTTTCACTGAGAAAATCGCATTGCGCTTGAGCTCGTCACTGGGGGTGCTCAATTACCCTCTGACACTTCATCGGTCTGAGGTTTCTGGTGGCCTCTATTTTCAGGCGGAACCGGTGCTAGACTTGACCTCTCCTCTGCCAAATGAGATTACGGCGGACCACGTTGATCCTGCTAGAGGTAATTTTGTTGCCATCGTTAAGTTTGAACGTGTTCCTCACTTTTGATTCCTTTGTGGTATCATTGGTCACATTGGGGAGACTTGTCCCCGGAAAGAGGAATTCGTTGGTGTTCCCCCAAGGTATGGTGTGTTTTCGGTGGTGATGGAGTCGGGGCCACAAGTGTCGGTGGACACTTTGTCAAAGAGGCGGCCGGTTCACTTGGATCTGTGCATATACTAAGCACCCTATATGTGGCCAGCAAGGAGGGTCTTTCGGAAGCCTGCATTGCGACCGCCAAAGCCCATGTTGCAGCCTATATAGGAAGGAGGTAGTGGTGCTGAGTGGAAGGATATTTGTTGCCCACCTTAGGGGCTTATGGGTTCCAGATTTCAGGCTCTTTCAATTGTGTCAACCAACTTGGGGATGCATTCTTCTGTCCTGGGCTCACAGAAGAGGACACCTACATGGGTGAAGATTTTGTACCCAATTCAGCATCTCCTTCAGCAAAGCGTGTAAGGTCTGCCTCAGTGGAGTCTATGTTTAGCGCTCCTAGTACTAGTAAGGTGGTGGCTCCCAGCCTCAAGTGGGCCCAACCATATCCATGAGTTTTATGGTGTGGAACTGTCGTGGGATGGGCTCCCACTTGACTGTTCCCTCGCTTGGTGGAGTCATGGCTCGGTTTCGTCACAACATTGTCTTCCTTAGTGAAACAAAACGTGACGATGACTTTGTCCATTCCAAATTTGCTAGCTTAGGGTTTAAATTAGTAAGGTATTTTAGTGCTTCCGATGGTAGTGGTGGCTTAGCTGTAGCTTGGACTGATCATGTTATTTGTACAGTTCACCTCTTGTCTTCATATCTTTGTTTTGTCGAGTGTCTTGTTCCAGCTGTTGGGAGCTTTGTAATTATCTATGTGCATCTATCGTGTGATTTAGTTTCTCGACAACTTAATGAAATTAAACATTTGCTCTCGTCGGTATTGTTGCCATCCTTTGTCGTAGGCGATTTTAACTGTCTTCTATCTTCATTAGAAAAGATGGGGGAATACTGCCTCTGTGGCTGCTTTGGATTAGCTTAATGAATTCGTGTCGACCATAGGGTTGTTTGATTTTGGTTTTCAGGGATCGCCCTACACCTGGTCAAATCGTTGAGCGGGTGGTGATCATTATCATGGAGCGTCTAGACCGTTGTATTGGGAGTGCTCTGACGTTGTCCGAGTGGCCTAATTTGATGGTAATCCACCTCACTTACTTAGGCTGATCATAGAATGCTCCTTATGTAGCTCATCAAATAAGATCACTAGTCTCATAACAGATTTTAGTTCGATGGCCGCTGGAATTCGAATGCAGAAGCCTTGGATATCATAAAATTGGCTTGGTCTAAACCTACTTGTGGCTCTATCCAGTTCAGCGCTATTAACCAACTCAAAATTTCTAGGCATGACTTGGTCGCGTCGGCAAATCTCATAACTTCAAATTCGGCTCGTCGCATTACAGAGCTCAAATCTGCCATCGAGGACCTTCGCAAAGTGGCAGTGGTGGATTGGGATGCCATTCGATGTATAGAAATAGAGCTCTCAGCAGCTTAATTGGTCGCGCGCAGGGGATTCTAACACAAATCTCTTCCATCGCACAGTCCTACAAAGGCGATGATTCAATCACTTAGGTGGTTTGAGGGATGATTATGGCGTCCTACACTATGAGGAAGTGGCCATGGAAGGTATAGTTATTTCATTCTATCAAACTCCCTCCACCTCTAACAATTTTGATGTTTTATCTTATGTAGAGACTTTGGGGTGCTCTAATAAAGTCACTCCCGAGATGAATGAATTCTTGATATCTCCTATCATGGAATTAGAAGTCAAGAATGTTTCCTTTAGAATCGGTAGCCATCAAGCACCAGGCTTCGATGGTTTTACAGCCGCATTCTTTCAAGCCCATTGAGACGTGGTCAGCAAACTCATTAGTGTTGTAGTTCTAAACTTCTTCAGCTCCGGTCGACTACTCCATAGCTTCAACCATACTTTGATATCTTTATTACCAAAGGTCATGAATGTTGAGTTGATGCACCAAATCGGCCGATTTGTCTATGTCAGGTGTTTTACAAAATAATTGCTAAGATTATGGCCGCTAGACTTAGTGTTATTCTGCCTGATATTGTTAGTACGACTCAAAATGGTTTTGTGCAGGGTAAATCGATTACTGACAATGTTTTGATTGATCAAGAGGTTATGCAATTCTTGAAAACTAAAGTGCAGGGTCGCGATAAATGAATGGCACTGAAGCTCGATATGGAAAAAGCATTTAACCGTGTTGAGTGGTAATTTCTTTTGCTCCTCATGGAACATATGGGGTTTTGTTATGAGGGTTAAAAAACGGTACGGTATCGGTATCCCAATACCAAATCTCGAATACCGAATTACACCCTAAAATTAATCCCAATCCCAATCCCTAAATAATTTCGGTATCTCAATCCCTAAATATTTCGGTATCTCAATCAGTATTTAATTAATTACCTTTGTAATTAATAATTAAATATATATATATTAGATATGATTGTTTAATTTGGGGCAAAGAGACTAAGCAAGGAGTCTTGAGTTTGCCTAGAGCTAGGATATGTATAAGGAGAATGGAGGAGAGGTGACATCTCAAGTTCTTGTCATTGGTAATCTTTAATTTGATGAATTGGAGGATGAGAGACGTCTAATACTAGTGTTTTCTTTTTGGTGTTATGAAAATAACAAAAAATTAGGTAAGAGACGAGAGTGACTTAAATTGAATAGTCAAAATTGAGTTGGATGTGGACTTCTGAGTTATGAAATAGTGTTGGAATGATCTATGTTTAATTAAATGACACTCTTGATGGTTAAGGGTCGTGTAGTAGTGAATGATAGAGTCTAGTTTAGAGGACAAAATACAGACTAGCTTATATTTTGGTATTGATTGGTATTTCGGTATAGAGCGATCCCAATCCCGTAATCCCTATACCGAATAAAGATTGAAATTCAATCCCAATCTCAATCCCAATAAATAATATGTGCATTCGGTAATACCAAATATAGACAAATTCGGTACGACATTTGGTATATCCCAAATACCGGTACTAAACTTCCAACCCTATGAGTGGCGGCATTGGATAAATGCTTGTATCTCCACTATCTCGTTCTTGGTGTTGATCAAAAAAACACTCCCATGGTTATTTCAAGCCTCAGCGGGGTTTACGCCAAGGTGATCCTCTCCCCCCCCCCCCCCTCTATGCCATTTATTTTTGAGGCGTTTCGACTAAAATTTGCAGCAAAATCATGGCTGGGAGTTTGCATGGTTTACGGGTACATGGGTATGCCCCTATGACTTCCCATCTTTTTTTCGTTGATGATACTTACCTTTTCTTGAGGGCTTCTTTTTTGGAATGCGGAACTCTGCTTTCTGTTTTGGAAAGTGGTCAGAAGATTAATCTGGCTAAATCCTCCATCTGTGTTAGCTCTAATGTTACGGATGTGGAGCAGGCACCTTTGGGAGCCTTCTTAGGGGTGGCTGACTCTAATGTTTTTGACAAGTACCTGGGCCTTCCGGTTCATATGCAAAGGTCTAAGACGCAAAACTTTATATTTGTGGAAGAGGGGTTGGTTAGTCGCATTCGTTCTTGGAAAACCAAAGCTATGTCCTTAGCAGCTAAAGAAACAGTGATTAAGTCAATTGGCTCGGCCTCATCTATATATGCTATGTTTCTTTTAGTCTTCCTTCTTTCACTTGTCGCAGGTTGAATGGCCAGTTGTCCCGATTTTGGTGGGC